ACTTTAACCTTCCTCCCACACCATCATGCTCTCCCAAAGTATTACCTCCTTCAGTATAACCTCCTCCCACATCATCATGCTCTTCCCAAGTATTACCTCCTTCAGTATAACCTCCTCCCACATCATCATGCTCTTCCCAAATATTACCTCCTTCAGTATAACCATCCTCTCCCACCATAGTATACCCTTCTTCCCAATCCATCATGCTCACACCAAGTATTACCTCCTTCAGTATAACCTCCTCCCACATCATCATGCTCTTCCCAAGTAATACCTCATTCAGTATAATCTTCCTCCCACACCTTCGTGCTCTCCCCAAGTATTACCTCCTTGAGTATAACCTTCCTCTCACACCATCATGCTCTCCCCGAGTATTACCTCCTTCAGTATAACCTTCCTCCCACACCATCATGCTCTCCCTAAGTATTACCTCCTTCAGTATAACCTCCTCCCACATCATCATGCTCTTCCCAAATATTACCTCCTTCAGTATAACCATCCTCTCCCACCATAGTATACCCTTCTTCCCAATCCATCATGCTCACACCAAGTATTACCTCCTTCAGTATAACCTCCTCCCACATCATCATGCTCTTCCCAAGTATTACCTCATTCAGTATAATCTTCCTCCCACACCTTCGTGCTCTCCCCAAGTATTACCTCCTTGAGTATAACCTTCCTCTCACACCATCATGCTCTCCCCAAGTATTACCTCCTTGAGTATAACCTTCCTCCCACACCATCATGTACTAGCACCCTCCTTGTCAGCACCTAGTGTCACGTCTTCCGTCTCTATCACTCCAATACGTAACTCAACGTTGTCGCCCTCGTAAAAGCCGGGCTGCCGCGTCGGATTCCACCACTTTACGAGGCAAGTAAATCTGCATATTTATCCGCCGGTCGGTGGGAACCTTTAGTAATGGTCGCAGAAGCTTCCCTCGTCCGAATTAAGCGCATTCTCCCTGCTGGCCGATTTTTCAAATCACCGATGACGCCGCTCTTTCCTATTCCGGAATCGTAATTTTCGAATATCCCAGATGTTTAGTGGAGGTGACATTTTTCGTGGTTTCAACACATCGGTCGAATGATTAGAAAACGCTTTTAGGATGAGATAGCAGAGATTGATTGGGGTGGGGTGTTAAGATGTGTTTTTTTATTTGATAACCGCGTGGCGGTCAAACTTTGTTTGATCATAATTGGAAGATCGGTTTTCGAACCTTTTAAAACTGATTTAAACTATTTGTGACTTCACTATTGTATTGAATACATTTTCGATTATTGGTTTCTATACGAATCTTTAAACACACCGTTTTTTAATTTACATTGTGGCCAATTGTATTTGTGAAAGATTGGTTTTGCGTGACTTTTTTGAGATATAATGCAGTTTTAAACTGTTTTGGACCATTAAGTGTCAAGAAAATACGGTTTATTGTTTTTAAACTATTTTAAATCCCATAACACCGCCTTTGAAATCTTTACTAAGCAGAGTACATACTAATAAATTGGTACAAAAATTAACATTAAAATGGTGATTTAATAAAAAAAAAATTATTTTAGTATCCTTAATAAAAGGGTGTTGCAAATATTTGTATGAAGATTGGTTTAAAATATAGGAAGATTCCCTATTATATATGCTTCAGTAGTTCCTCCATGCAGTAAACTGTACTCCATTAAGCCAATGTCCATTAATTTACCTTCAATTTCATATTGTTTTCACCGTTCGATATATTAACAATTTTCTTACATGGTGCCTCTTTTATAGAAGTTACAGCTTTTTTCATTCTAAATCCAAAAACTAGTAAGGCTTACCAACAGGGTGCAGCACTATTATGTTTTTTGCATTTATTACAACAGCTAATTTAAAACCAACTAGCAACAAAAAGTTGTGGTACACAATGAAAACTTTAATTTTTCCATGGTTTAGGTGCAGTTGTAGAAAATTAGGGCTATGGTACATGTGTGCTACACTATAGGATAACGTATAAATTTAAAGACCAAATTTCCTTAAACCGTGTCCTCTCCCGTAACTGCAATAAGCATTTTATACTTCTATGCCAACCCCGTACGAAGGACGGGTACTCTGCTAGTTAAAATCTATTTAACTGAAAATCAATTCAGACAAATGGAAATTCGCTTAGTCGGCAGGTTTGCTGCGGCGGGGGTATTTATTATTTTCTTTTGAATTTTTCTAATTTAAATATACAGGGTTGCTGTTAATTATGCCCATAAATTTTATTCTGTGAATTGGATCTCAAACGTTCAATGTTAACAAGATTATCTCTTAATACACGCGAGATAAAAAATTTCCATTGATTGAAGCTTGTAACGTTTTACAATTCGATATCCACGAATAGTATCGGCATTGGGTGTTTCCACTGTAGGATTAAAACCCGCAAAAATGCACACCCAGTATTGGATTCTGTCAATGTTTTTCAGATTGATTTTCACAATCAGATTGTGGAACCGCGCTTCGTTGATTATATTAGACCATCAGACCGAATCAGTATCATCGGTTGTGTGTGGATGGCCACTGGTTGATACCGTGCAAGAATAATCTGTCAGGAGTACATAGTTGAAACTTTGAACCGATTGAAACCTTCTAAACTGAAGGCTTAGGATTCTAGACCCGAATACCGTTTGTAACAAAATTTTGATATTAGATATTAACAAAACTAGGATTTTTATCGTGATCTTAAATAATGGGAAAACGCCCTAAACAAGAAAAGGAACTATAAAAAAAACTCAAAACTCCAACTCCAACAGTTATTGACCAAATTAGTCATGGGTTTTCAAAGTAATTTAAAGATTAAGGATGTTGTACGCCATCGTACAAAATGGTATATCTAATTTTAAGGAAAACAAGCTGCAAAATAAAATACCATCTTACCGAACTAAACATTACTTATTTATTTATTTATTCCAGCGGGAAACCCATTAACTTACATTAAAACATTACAAAGAAATAACAATAAAAATCAAGGCATGATGTGATACAAACACTACAAATAATCAACAACAACAGCAGCAACGTATTAATACAATATGTCTATATTCTGCAGCAAAAAATGTGTACTGGAACATGTAACAATATAACATAACCATATACCATTTATCAAACCATTAACAACAAATAAATATTTTCAGATTGACAACAACAATAAATATATATATATATATATTTTTTTTACTTTGATCATGCAACGATAACAACAAATAAATATTTCAAAAAGACAACAATCACTTCTGATCATGCTAGATAGATCTGCTTCATAGAACTCATCCATGCTGTAGAAATAATTTGATAGAAGCCATGACATTATTATTTTAACATATTTCTGTTCACACAAGTATTTTACATGTATAATTGAAAAACCTCATTCCTGAAAGTATAATCTTTATTTCAATTGGAGTTCCGGCATATAGGGCAAATGGAGTCTTCTGATTGGTTAATCCAACAGTGACGTCATGACTTTGGGTACAGTTTCTAATGCTACTCTAATATTTATTGAAAAAATCGATTCAATTAGATACCTTCATTAAATTTTTTTCATTATCAGCAAATTTGATTAGTTAGGTTAGGTTTTAACAGTTTCATTTTATAATAATTGATTTGGTTAAAAATATAAAATCTGCATCTGTCATCTTTCACTGTTGGATCAGCCATTCAAATGACTCCATTCCTCCTAATTGCTGGAACTCCAATTCAAATAAAAATTATGCTTCCTACAACAGGGTAACAATTCAGAACCAAGCTTAACCTAGATATATAAATGTCCAAATTATTTATATTACTTGTGTTCTACATATGGATATCATTGTTTATTACGAAGGCACTTTGATTTTATTACATCTAGGAATTGTAAAGTAGAATTATTTGCTATTATTTATTACCTATAATGATTGACAGTCCACTACTCAGAAAAGAAATATGTCCTTGAAATAAAGACGATCTTGCATTTTTATAGCGTGGGCAGGGTTTAAGATTGGCAGTATCTGTCGTGAAATCAAAAATATGCGGTCCCAAAGAACGAACCAGATCCTTAGCGGCCCACAAAATTTTAAAGCTGAACAGTAAAAGTCAGAACGGTGCTAAAGATAACACATTATGGCATTTTCTTCTTGAAAGCTTCTGATGCAAAGGCTTTTTGTTTTGGATAGTCTCGAAAACATGAAGATGTTTCACAATTGGTGATTTGGTGGTCATGGACACGATGTTAATGACTGTAAAGTTATCTTGTTTACTTCAAATTAAAGTTCAAGTTCACAAGTTACTTTGAGAAGATTTTCTTTTAAAACAAGAATAATCTGAGGCAATCGCAGCACTACCATCTATTGAAAATACAGTTGAATTACCACTTAGTTTGCTTTGACTATAGGTGAATAGTTTAATGGCCTACTCAGAGTATTAATTGTGCTTGCAATAAAAAAGTACTGTATTGATCACACTGGAAAAGATTCTCTTAGAGGTATCCATTGACTTTGGGATACTGAAGTTGTATCAATAAAGGGAACAGAAACTCATCCAATACGTTTACCATACAATGGTTACTTTTATATATCTTGATATACTGTATAGGTCCCTACATAAACGTAATTCAAAACGTGATTCAAAAGGTTTTTACAAATAAAACAATTCATTTTTCTACAGTTTATTTATTTTTACTGAAGGATCGCCCAAACCTTAAGTACCTCTATGATACCTTAGTGTCCAATTAGAATCGTATATTTGAGGAGTTTCAATTGTTTGAATACAAAGACGACCTCACATTTAGCTAACTCTCAAGCTCCTCTAAGAAGAGATCTTAATCACAATAGTATTGCATATTTTATTTCTCACCAAACATTCAAGCAGGCTTGTCTAGAAGTAGCTGATTGTTCGTAGTCAATACAAGTTGATTGTTTCTCGAGTGGATGTGAAATCAATCCCTTTCGAGGTTCGACATCGCCCACAGTCGCATTAACCTCACCAATTGTTGAATCAATCTGCGTCCGGCTGAACCTCAAACTGATGATCTAAGATGATTGACGAGCTTCCGCAAGTTGCCGCTCCCTGGCGTGTCTTCAGGTGGTCTTACTATCTGTATTACCGACGTTGACGTGCCTTCAGGTGGTCTTACGAACTGTATTACCCACGTTGACGTGTCTTCAGGTGGTCTTACGAACTGTATTACCCACATTGATGTGTCTTCAGGTGGTCTTACGAACTGTATTACCCACGTTGACTTGCCTTTAGACTGTCTAACAAACTGTATTACCAACGTTGACGTGTCTTCAGGTGGTCTTACGATCTGTATTACCCACGTTGACGTGTCTTCAGGTGGTCTTACGAACTGTATTACCCACGTTGACGTGCCTTCAGGTGGTCTTACGAACTGTATTACCCACGTTGACGTGTCTGCAGGTAGTCTTACGAACTGTATTACCCAAGTTGACGTGTCTACAGGTGGTCTTACGAACTGTATTGCCCACGTTGACGTGCCTTCAGGTGGTCTTACGAACTGTATTACCCACGTTGATGTGCCTTCAGGTGGTCTACGAACTGTATTACCCACGTTGACGTGTCTTCAGGTGGTCTTACAAACTGTATTACCAACGTTGAAGTGTCTTCAGTTGGTCTGACGATCTGTATTACCCACGTTGACATGCCTACAGATGGTGTTACGAAATGTATTACCCACGTTGACGTGACTGCAGGTAATCTTACGAACTGTATTACCAACATTGACGTGCCTTCAGGTGGTCTTACGAACTGTATTACTCACGTTGACGTGACTGCAGGTGGTCTTACGAACTGTATTACCAACATTGACGTGACTGCAGGTGGTCTTACAAACTGTATTACCCACGTTGATGTGTCTTCAGGTGGTCTTACGAACTGTATTACCCACGTTGACGTGTCTTCAGGTGGTCTTACGTACTGTATTACCCACGTTGGCGTGCCTTCAGGTGGTCTTACGAACTGTATTACCCACGTTGACGTGTCTTCAGGTGGTCTTACGAACTGTATTACCCACGTTGACGTGTCTTCAGGTGGTCTTACGTACTGTATTACCCACGTTGGCGTGCCTTCAGGTGGTCTTACGAACTGTATTACCCACGTTGACGTGTCTTCAGGTGGTCTTACGAACTGTATTACCCCCATTGGCGTGTCTTCAGGTGGTCTTACGAACTGTATTACCCACGTTGATGTGTCTTCAGGTGGTCTTACGAACTGTATTACCCACGTTGACGTGTCTTCAGGTGGTCTTACGTACTGTATTACCCACGTTGATGTGTCTTCAGGTGGTCTTACGAACTGTATTACCCCCATTGGCGTGTCTTCAGGTAGCCTTACTGACGTTGACGTGTCTTTTTACCCACTTGTCTGTAAAATATTCTCACTATCTATCATGTTTTTGAGTCCATAATGTCTTTCATCTTCAATTGCTTTTGGTGATCCTATTGGCACTGGAATGCCCTAAACTTACGTTTCCGTTCTCAATGCAGACTTAACTACGGTATTTTTTAGCATGCCAATCCCATTGTTGTTCTACAATCCATACATATCTTGAATCGAAACTAATTCCTCTCCAAACAATTTTACAAGCATTACAACACCAAAGTTTTTGACACAAATTATTTCGTCACCGTCCTGCAAAGAGCGACGAGGTAAGGAGCGTTTACTACCTTGTTTTATTATCCGAGGAAATCCCGCAAAACCGTTTAATACCGGGTTATAATAGTGCAAGTACATTACCATAAAACCAGATGCACTAGTGTTCCAGCCATTTCCATAATTTATACTTATAGTTGTAAGGGCCGACTGTAAAAGTTGGCTGGTGTCATAGTTGACTCGTCGTGCAGATTCTGGTTTGCGGAGATGATGTATTTATAGGTGAGCCGGTGCAGACGTATGATAGGCTGTGTAATGAAGGATCGGTAGAATGTGATTATAGGTGGCGTCTTTCACGATGGTGTAATGGATAAGTGCATTATATGATAATTTTTGTAAAGAGAAATTATGTTTTGTGAGATTATTGACGATGAAGTATAGTTTTTTGAATTTCTTCACATTCTAGGATGTTAGGCCTCGGACCGATGACTCATTACGTCATGCTAAGTCTAGAGGTTTGCATCGTTATCACATTGTTAAAAACCATTTGTGATTCGTGGGATTTGAACCAGTGTACTCAATGCTGTGTTCTTGACAAATGGGTATACTAGACTCAAAATATATTTAAAGTAACTTATTTCTTTGCATATTGTTATGTACCTATTTCATTAAATGAACTTATGAAATATTTTTCTTACTTCTGTGATTTCTTTCATAAAGTGTAAACAGCTAACGTTGATATAAATGGAAGAATAAGTGTTAAAATGTTCATGTGCTAAAGTGCATCATGTGTAATTTTCATGTTAAAAACTGTGCACTTATCATATAAACAAAAACTTATAAATTTTGTTCTCTGGTGAATGATTATCAAAACAGTTTCAACTCAGAGATCTCTTTTAAACATTAAACTTTTACAATTTATCAATGTTTTTGGGGCCAACCTCATTGTAGTAAAATCACAAAATAGTAAAAATACACAAAGTATTAAAATAGTAACAATTATTCCTAGATTTATAAAGTATACAGTATAAACTGTTCTCTACAGATTTTGCTCAAGTCAATAGTTTACTTTAGTATTGCGGAAATTTCTCTAGTCTATGAAATATTTTGGCATCAAGGCAGTTAAAAATTATTATGACATGTTTTCGATTCAATAAAGAATACTTTAAATTATCAGAATAATTCAAACAGTTCCGTGCAATTACCTTAGCAAAGTTAATTGAAGCGATTGTAAATATATGTTTCTTTTTTGCTATTTTATAGAAACCGATCACATAAAATAGGTCTATGATCCTAGCATGGAATCTATGAAAGCCTAGAGAAAAATATCATATTTATCATATTATTGTATAATTTCTTACATCCGTCCTATACACGAACTTTTTACATGACAAACGAAATAAGTCTTATCCTATTTCCTTACAGTTTTGTTCAAAACAAGATAATTTCCTTTTAACACACGCAAAAAAGAAACTTAACTTCGTTAAACAAATAGGAAAACCCCAGACAATAAAACAAGTTCGTGAAGTAGCATAACGAATCTCGAAACCTATAAATAATTTTCGAGTGAAAAACGAGCAGAAACAGCAGCGAGAAAATCAATCAAAGCAAAAAGGTTCTCGCAGGTTGTTTCTGTTTCCCGCGCATCTATGACTCCGAATATATAATTGGATGCGTGTCGAATGCAAATCATGCTCGGCTAGCGCATGTTTTGTTCCTGCGACTTATAATAATTTTTATTGTCGCGCGGAAACATGCAAACACAAGTGCTCGGAACCGGTTTCTCCTACAATACGTTGATTTGTCTGCGCGCCGCCGTTGGACGGCTTCCAACCTGTTCTTCATTTCCATATTATTTATTTATGCGCCGAGACGCTCCCGCTTATCGGTCTACTTTTAATTACACCAACATGTTAATTAACTTCTGCTCCTTTTGTGCGCTCTAATCGACATAAATATTTTATTCTGAATACATCGGCAGTAATGGAGGAATGTTATTTCTACTGCTATCGCGGAACCTATTATGTTATTGGAACCTGTTACTAGATTTTATCACAACCGGATGTTATATTGTTTTTGAGGAATTGGTGTTACAGAACTTTTGGAAGTAATATGTAATTATGTTGTGACGGGTAGTCACCAAAAATTATTTTCTAAATTTTGGGATTATATTTCAAAAGTAAAAGACCTGGTAAATGGATTTCACAATGCATATACCAGTGTCAGAACATTGGCATTTAGTAGACAGAATTCTTGGTGACACGTAGCTTGCTCAATCGACCGACCCACAAAAACCGTAGACTTAGCAATTGTACTTTGGAGAGACTGAGGTCGGAGTTGACCGGAAGGAAGACACTTGGCCCCAGTCATCCACGGGGGCACTTCGCCGGTCTCCGGGTTTTTGGTAAGGCGATTACTTTATTAATATTTCAACTTTATAATTTTTGTGATTGTCCAGGCTAACTTAATTTTTTTAAAGTCAGTGATTGATCGATGTAATTGTAATCATTTTTATAATAATTAATTTCATTTATAATTTGTGTGAATAAATATAGCTACTATTAAATTCCTGTTTGAATATAATAACGTGTCAACAAGAATTATAATTATTAGAGTTTTATATAAATTTCATTTGTTTAGGCCTACTTAAATAAAAGGAGCCTGTAATTATTTTATCATCCATTTTTTATTATTGTCATTATTATTATCTTTATCATATTGTCCATCCACTTTATTTGAATAATGATTAAAAATTCTTTTACCTCTCACTAAAGTATTCTTATTATTTAAATCGATCCCGGTTACGCCCCCGGTCACAATTTCAATCGTGGCAATGTGTATATTATAGAAATAGACGAAAGAGTGGTGTTTATTTAATTAAAAGAATGATTAGATAGTACTACATGTGAGCAGGCCTAGTTTTTGTTAGTTTATCAAATAAACTTGTAGTTTTGTTATTTGAGAATGAAGCCAGTTATTATACGTTTTGAGCGTTTTTCAGACTACTGGATGCTGAATCTGTTAGTTCTCGTGAATTTCGGGTTCATTATGTGAAGCATGAAAACAACAATATCATTGATATTGGAAGAATAGTGTTTCATATTAATTCATGACTCTTCGTTGTTCGAGTGCATCTAAAAATGTATTTAAGTTGCCATTTAACTTTTTGTATTACTGTAGTTCCGATAAAAATATAGAAAGTGATCCAAATTTAAAATTTCTAATGACACTCAAATTTTTATAATCTTACTCCGATACTAAAATAAATTTTTAGCACGACAAAAATATATTTTCTATAAAGGATACTAAGCGTGTGACATCAATTACTAACCAGTTTAAAATTCTTTACTAAAAATGTTATTCAAGTGATGTTGTTATGTGAAGAGGTAGCGGATATGGTAGACAAAGTTAGGCGTACATTTAGCTCTTCACTATGCGACTGTGTTCGTGTAAACACTTAAAAATTCATGAAACCAGGGTACTTTAAAACACCTGCTTGGAAAACTGTAGTTTTTCTCCAGATAAACTGAAACCCGGTAGTGACGTCAAGTTTTGGTTGCTAGCCTACTGGTTAACATCTCGGCGGAGGAAAGACGTGTTCGATTCCCGGAACGTTCACAAAAGTTTATTCTCGCGTTGATCTCTTGTAGAAGACAACAATTTTTTTGATAGAAAAAAAAGAAAAAATGAAAATGTAAGACACACCAGGATAGCGGCTCTTAAAGGCGATGATGGTTATTAAATGAATGAGATAACAGCTTAGGTACTGACTAAGTAATAAGCCTGTTATTTGGCCAGGATAATTTATAAAGGACAAGTAATCAAGTATACCTGCACCTAGTTTTGACCCACTAATATGATTTGACTTTTCTCAGGATCGAACCGGCAACCATTTGATTACCAAACGACAACTATATGCTATACTATCAAGAAATTAAATAAAGATACGTCTTATAACACTTAAAACATATATTTACGCTTATACTGTTACTCACAAGATGGTAAATATACAAAAGATGGTCATTCGCCTATTGGGTCTGATGATGATTGGAGTGTCCAATCGAAATCGATCACCACTTACAATCTTTTGTATATTTACCGTCTTGTGAGTAACAGTATAAGCGTAAATATATGTTTTAAGTGTTATAAGACGTATCTTTATTTACTTTCCGTAAATTTAATAACACGTACAATGCTGATCAAGAAGTTATTTATTAAGAAATCACGAAAAACCACGAAAACGTCCAACAGAAAACTCAAACAACAACAGAAGTTCTAATCTACAGTTTCAACAGATTACAAGGCTATTACAAGTCCCACTAGCTTGTACCAGCAGTTTAGATCTAGACGAGATTCTGCCCCATTACAAGGGGCGAGATATATGTGCGAGAGGACGCGGGACGGCCGACGTGTAAGCGAACCTTTGTACGCACTGATGAATCACCGGTCGCCGTCACGCCACAGGCAACCGTCCAATAATGGAATTAACAGGCAATTTATAACAGATCTTGTTGATTTATCCGAGCTGGAACTCTGCAGGAGTTCTGCGCGGCGCCTCTGGATGGTACACCTGCCCTTGGTCGACTACCCTTGCGTTCTTGGAGACTTGTAGTTGAACTTTGGTTATATGGTGTCTTTACATTTTAGTAGTGAATCTTGGGTAAATTTGGAAGTATGGTGTATAAATTCTGCAAATAGTTGGTCCTCTGGATTGAGGT